CCATCAGAAAGTACACTGGCATTGATATATTACGCTGGTTGTTTCCTCCATAGATGGTTTTCTTCACAATTTTGATAATCAAAGTTAGTCCTTTTGTTTCCCTTCCTAGGATACAGGCAAGCTTGTAGGCACTGTTGCACAGGTCTTCAATTTTGGAGGTGGCGATCTTCTCCAGGTTATGGTTGGCTCTGCTGAGAATGCTGTGCAGACTAATTCAGAAAATCCGGATTCAACTCCATCCCGTCAGCACGTGTGGATTCCATTTGCTGAAGATATTGTGCCTGATATTGATATGGAGAGTAGAGAGATGTGGATTACACCGCCAAAGGGTCTTCTTGAGGTCAATACACGTCCTGAGAAATCAAAGAAAGAAAGGCGTGCGATGGTTAGGTCCGCGCCATCCTTTTGTTGCATGACATGATCCCTTTTATAGTAAGAACATGTCTTATCTAAAGAGCTATAATGTTGATAGTAGCAGCACTCCTGACTGTTGTAGATGATAGATGCATCTCATGTAACAGTTCTTTAAACAAGCATATGTGGTTGAAATGTCATGCTTAGGTTCTACTCCCTCCGTTCCTAAATATTTGTCTTTCTAGAGATTTCAACAAATGACTACATACAAAGCAAAATGAGTGAATCTACACTCTAAAAATATGTCTATATACATCCGTATGTGGTAGTCTATTTGAAATCTCTAAAAAGACAAATATTTAGGAACGGAGGAAGTAAACAAGATTGATGCAATGATCTGAGCTATTTTTTGCTGTTTATTGTGTTCTTTCAAATAAAGCATTTCTATTTTAAATCCTTACAGGATTGGAAGGAAAAGAAGAAACTACAGCGTCGCATAACTGCAGCAAAGAAGGTACTACATGAAATGGAACAGGGTCATATTCTGGAAGGTTTGCTATCAGGAGACAAGCTTGAAAAGGCTTCACTTGCTGAACAAATTGCGGGCATTGACTTTCAATTGTTCAAACATGCAATGCATAGTGTCAGCAAGCAGGTTGACAGGTACGAACTGTGGATTCCCGTTATTCCCTGTCTTGCCAAAGTATTTTCAAAAGAAGCTGATTTGGTCATCATCACGTTCACTAAATATTTTCTATATATTCATGAATGCAGTTCCAGAATGCTCCTCATATGTAATAATATCTTTCTTTCTGTTATTTTGGTCAAACAATATGCATTTGTGGTCTATCCTGAGTTTTTAATCTAACCTGCAGCTTACTCTTCGAAACTTTTGTCATTTTCAGTATGTCAAAGAATGTTCTTGCCAAGTCTTCATTAAGAAAAAATGTGATGAGGATACCTCGCGAGACCCTCATGAACCATGGAGAGAAAGGGAAGAATGTCTTCAGTGATGAATTTAGCAAAGGTCGTGAGATCCTTCAAAAGTCGAAAGCAGCAATCGTACTTATTACAAATGGCTCCGACTCTGATATTGTGGATGCTGAGTTTCAGAGATTGCTTAACTCTTTTAGTGAGTTAATGAAGGTATCCATTGTTCATGATGGCCACTGCATTGTTTTCTGTATTGGAACAGAATTTAGTGGCACCAATCAAATGTACTTTCTCCATAATTTATCTTGAATGTCATTTAGAAAATTATGAGTATGACCATGCTGCCATAAGGACAGACCGACATAGTTTTTGATTGTTCCATGTGTTGCCTGAAGTTGCGTGAAGAACATAATAATCGTAGGAAAGTTTGATAACTGCTAAGTTTGCTCTTCCTTACGTTCAAGGCTAGAATTAAGATACAGAGGTACTATTCAAGAATATGCTTTGGTGAATATATCATTTGAATTCTAATCTACTGTTTACTAAGGATAGAATTTACAGTGGGTATCAGTTAGTTGCTGCATGTGTATTGAGCTGTAAAATTTGCCTGAAAAAACGACTAATGCATGGACAAATCTTATTCGTTTTTGTTTGATGCAGGTTGAAGAAAATCATATATCTCCCCCTTTCATTATTATTTCTCCTGACAATCATGTGGATTCAGTTCGGAACTACTTGGTAGAGAATGACTATTTTGGTTTTGACAATCAGAAGGTACAGTACATTGCCCTACTATGAGTTTATGCAGGCGCTCTCTGTTTTGCCAAAAAAAAAGTGTGCAATGTGACTATTCGTTTCAATTTTTACACTTAATAGTTTAGCAGTTTCATTAGAGTTCACATTCTTGGTGGAACTGCCCACACCTCACATTTGTGTTATTGTACATTCCACATTGAACATTCCAGTCCAGAGAAGCAGTTACTTTAAGATTGCATTTTGAAATGTATGGAGAACCTGGAATTTGTTCTTGTGTATATAAGCTTACCAGCATATGTACATCAGTTCAATTGTACATGTAGCCTGGAGTGCTTGACTCTCTTTTGATTTTCAGTCTTAAGAGAATCGAGTGGCAAAAGGGGGGAGATCCCCGTCATGTTCAGTTATGAATATAGAAATCTTTCTTTGCCAGCATTATCTCTAATTTGTTTGTAACTTTGGATCTCAAAACAGCCAAACTACTCTGCTTTTTTAATGTTCCACTGAATCCATTTGCAGGTATGGGTCCTTGAAGAGATGAAACTACCAGTTGTCAGTCTGTCCTCTGAGCTAATGAGCAAAAAAATTCTGCTGAAGTCCCCATGGGAGATACTTCAAAGGCCAGCCGGAACTGGGGCGATTTTCAGCTCACTGTCATCAAATAAAATTTTGGAATCGTTCAATGCAACGGGCATAGAGTATGTGCAGGTATGATCATGTTGTGCCACTCGCATCGTGTTTCCCCCCATCTCGCATTTCTTCTCACTTTTTACTTTTTGTTGCGTTGACTTATTCGTTCTACGAAATATAAATCTTCTCTAAAACTTCCGGCTACCTAAGCTCGTCTTGCTCTGCAGTCTGCAACTGAACACTTAAGCCTGCTAAAACAACATCAGCGAGAAGCATGCCAGCATTATAAATCGTTGAGGTCTCAACATATGAACTTAAATATCGGGGATCTAAACATCACAACTTCAAACTCTTCCTTTCATGAACAAGTTATATTTTCTGCTCTTATAAGAGCTGCCGTCTTTCTTTGTCTGGAACCGGTACCTGAAACGAACTTTACTTTCGGACAGATATGCAGCCTCTCCGACGAGCTAGTCCTCGGGCATCCTCTGCTCTTCGGTGCTGCAAGTTCCCGCGGCGTGGACGTCGGCATCAAGCTCCGCAAGACCAGCGACAAGACGGAAAATGGCTTCGATTTGATCCTTTCCATCGACCACCTGAACAAGATGTGCCGAGACGTGGCCAAGGCCAGGTTCTCCGCCCACCCCGAGCAGCATGAACACGTCGAGCATGTCGACGGCCAGTGGGTCGCCGTCCAGCCGGAGGCGCCGAACTCCCACCGGTTGAGCACCGATGTTACAAGCGTTCTGGACTCTTGCTCTCCTGACAAGCTGTGCGTCATGCAGATTGTTGAGTAGCGGCTAGTTGATATTTTTGCTAATGTACTGTAGGACTGTAGATAGCCAGCCACAACTAAGTACTCCATCCGAAAATACTTGTCATCAAAATTGATAAAAAGGATGTATCTAGAACTAAAATACGTCTAGATACATTTAGTTTTAACCATTTTGATGACAGGTATTTCCGGACGGAGGGAGTACCTTTTTTTTTGAAACAGAGGCAAAAGGTTTGCCTCATCCATTATTAATTAAGAAGAGAGTTGTCCGGTTAATTGACAGAAAATTGGGCGAAAACCGTCACAAATTTGCCCACACAGGCGAATTACTCCCCCTTTTTTTGAGTTGCCCACCATCCCCATGCTGCCTCTTACATACTGGGCATGTTTGACACGGGGGTTCTGGAGATCATAGGTAGCAATTGGGGTCATGGGGTCTAGGCTGGCTTCATTTGCGCAGCAAGATGCGCGTGTATATGAGTGCTTGCGTCTGTACTGTGTTAAAAAAAATTGAGCGGTAAACCGAATACTTTGAAAGCTTTTCCAGGAGAAAGGCCGTAGGCGTTTGCCCTCCTCACCTCCAGGAGCAAATCGAACACCTCCTGTTTTCGAATTGCTCCCAACGGCCTCCGAGGCTTGCAAAAACTTGTTTGGTACTGCTACTGGATTTGACTGGAGTCTAGAAACCCAGTCCAATATCCATTAAGCATTCCATCTTTCTCAAAATGTGTTATTATACATACATGCGGTCAACGTCTTAAAAATGTTTTCTTTATTTACGGAATAACGTCTTAAAACTTCAACCACTGATACTCACAAAAGTATATGGATCAAACATGTAAAAATGATATCAATGTAGTATTTCCTTGCATACTACTCCCACTGTTTCATAATTCTTGTCGTGGCTTTAGTTCAAGTTTAAACTAAACAACAAGAATTGTGGAATGTAGGGAGTACTTTTTTCATGTCTTTTTACTCTGAACATATGTATTACGTATCAAAATTTAGTCAAAATAGTATACTGAAGACCGTAAAGAATCAAACACAACTTAAATTTTGAGACGGGAATACTAGTCGAATTTTGAGAAGATGGGAATACTGGTCCAGCCCTTTAAGAAAATTGCACGCAGCTTTCGACCAATCATGGTTTCCATTATTGTTCATCTATTACTTACATATTTGGCACAACACTATTCAGTTTGTCAATATTACTTACAAATCGGCGCAATTTGTCTGATTGCGTCAACAGTACATGTACACATGTTACAGCCTAAGAAAAATATCAGTCAGTTGGTGGGTGCTGAGCTGACACTTTTCTCAAGTAGCTCCTATTGTTTTCTGAGCCCAAGACATGAAGCTCCAATTGCCCCAACTTGAATTCCTGAACTACAAGGATCTGTTGCTGTTGGAGTTGCTAAGATACACAGCTAGCTCTGTCAGGCATTACTGCAGAAATCAGCAAAAATCAGGCAAACCTCCCATATATTGCTGCCGCAACAGCTTATTGTGTAGGTGGGTCGACACCCACAGATTCTCCTGGTATGCTTGTCCCTTAGATCCTCTGACAACGAATAATGCCTGCGGCGCCTCCATAGCATAACCATCTCTCGCTGCCTCTGTTTGTGTTCCATCTCAACCGATGCAGCGCTACAGATTTGGGAGGGAAGACCTCGAAGTCGTCTTTAGCGTTTTCATCAACTGGGCCGTTGTGCATGCCATCATTCTCCTCTTGCGTTAGAGCATCAGCTAAAACTAGAGCACCACTTTCTCGGCCTTCATCTAGTTCACCATCTCCGAGTTCTGGATCTACATGCTCTGCAGTGTAGTTCAGCAGGCATGTCAGGCAGTAAGCCAATGATATGACTTGCAGCAAAATGGAGAGGGTGTTTTACTTTACCCGAGTTAGTGAGAGTTCTTAGTTCCTCTTTCCGCATCTCGTCTGTTTGATCTACATCTTGGCATGATTCTGGACCCTTTTTCGTGACCAGAGGAACATTCGATAAAGGAGAGCTTTGCGGCGTGCCACCGATCTTAATGACTGTCCCCTCCTCTGCCAGTGAACCACAGAGGAAATAAGGTACACGGTTCCTCCCAGGTTTCTTCTCCCAGAATCTCTTAGTCAGCTATACGTGTGCAAATATTCATTTAGCACACAGATCTGGATGACAGGCACAATTAGATAATGAATACAGGCTAGCGAGTTCACCTGGAAGCGCACAGCAGTACCATCTACCACGCAATAAGCTGCTTGACCTGTATACAGGCAAAGAATTATTGCCAATTCAAGACTCATAGCGAAGATAACATTCCACCCGTATGTGCTTCAGTATGATATTTTTTTACGAGAAGCTACTCATTCTCCTTACTTCTGTATAGAGATTCATTTAAAAAAATATCATGTGTCCAAAATGTAGAGAGCATTGTTAACATTGTAAATATCACAAAAAAGAAAATCAAGTGTCCAAAACAGAATCTTATCAGAGGTGAATATTACTAAAATAATAAACAATTCAAGTATTAGTATATACGGCAAATAACATAATTATAAGCTTTATATTCATTTCTTTGAGAAAAGGTACCACCCAAGGCTTCTTACTAGGAAACTTGTAACTGCATTCTGCTTAGGCCGGATATTGACTATGATTAGGCATGGTTCTGGAAATGTACCAGTAATTTCTGAGACATGGACGTCCCATATCAAATATTCTGATAATTGATAAGTATGAACGCCCTGAGTTTTACTCCCAGCGAATGGCCTTCCGGTGACAGGTACATCATTGGCTATTTTAGGCAAGCTGAGGAACTTCAATGTACCATCTTCCAATGAGATGACAATACCTCTGGACATGAAAGATAGTAACAGTTAGCATTATTAACCGAGTAGACAGAATTTTTTTATAACCTGCATATATACATAGTAAGGCCATTGGGAGCGAAGTAGAACTTTCAGCCCATAGAGATTTTACAACTGTATTTTACTAATCCAGACCATACAGTTATAAACAAGGAAAGCCTAATCATGGACAAAAACACACAAAAAAGAGTGGAATACGAAAGTTTTGATTAGCCATCCTTCAATGTCAATTAATTCCGATCAAACATTACAAGCCACCTGAGTCCTATGTCTCCGCTATGTTTAGGACAAGCGAAAGGATAGGCCACACAAAAAAGAGTGGAATACGAAAGTTTTGATTAGCCATCCTTCAATGTCAATTAATTCCGATCAAACATTACAAGCCACCTGAGTCCTATGTCTCCGCTATGTTTAGGACAAGCGAAAGGATAGGCCTGGGATCTATGTCATGTTCCTCAGGGGTTTATATACCTGAAAAGTGGAAACTACCAGCCTACCACTCTATAGAAACAGCAGTTTTGACAAAAATGGATAGGCCTAGTCCCCAAATTACTTGCCTCACCAAGGAAAACATGGTTGCCTTACGATGCTGATATAGGGCATAATGGTAACTAAGCTATCTGATAAGGTTAAAATTTATTAACCAGATAAGGTTAAAAGATAGAAGAAAAAGTTGCATTGATTCAAACAAAATGCCAGGAAGAGCTGGCTTTACTTCAAGCACAGTAGACTTTATTCATCAGCAACAATCACTGTTAGTTGGGTCAATAATAAAGAATGTAACACATTAGATCTGTTAGAGTCCATGTAGTCTTTTGTATTTACCCCATTGTATAAGGGGTTTCCTGCATATTTCCTACACCTGTACATGTATATATATACTGGCCTATGGCCTCATTGGAATACAAGTTGCATATTCCTATCATGGTATCAGAGCCGAGTCGGGCGCTGTGGGATCGAGCGAAGAGACCACGAGCGGGCCTGGCGGCAGGGTTGGTCTAGCCAGCCAGCGACGGGCGATCTGGCGATGCGGGATGGGCCTGGCGACGGCGGGCCTGGCGAGCGGGAGCGGGCGTGGCTTGCTCAGGCGAGTGACGAGCGGGAGGAACGAGATCGAGCGGGCCTAGCGGCGGGGTTGGTGGCAGGGCGAGAGAAACCTGCAGCCGGACCAGAGGAAACGCGGCAGCGGTGACGAGAAGAGGATCAAGCACGAGTTGCGCGTGCTAAAAATAAGAACTTATGCTCCAATACCATGAGTTTGAGGGGGGGTGTTAGAGTCCATGTAGTCTTTTGTATTTACCCCATTGTATAAGGGCTTTCCTGCATATTTCCTACACCTGTACATGTATATATATACTGGCCTATGGCCTCATTGGAATACAAGTTGCATATTCCTATCAAGATCCTCACAATAAAAGGAGCATTTCCATTAGTCATTTCCATGGGTAGATAAAGCCATTTACTTTTTTCATGCCTAATCATAGTCAATATATGATTAGGCATGGTTCTAGATCATTTACTTTGTTCTCAAGAAGACACAAAACCTTTGCGTTTCTTTTCGCTGAAAAGGTAGAAGAGTTCGAAGTACAAGCTACAGCAGGGCCTAGATCAACACAAACGTAGAGCACCAATAGCAAAGCAACATAGAATTAATGGAGAATCATTTACGTTTTTAAGAAGCCATAGTTTGTTCTGTAAACAAATAATACAACTACCTTAGCAAGTTAGCATGCTGACATATCAGAGATCAAATGAGCCACGGATTGCATAAGAACATAAATAAACCATTTTTCTTATTTTCTTGCAAATGTGATTTGCATTTCAACTTCAATGAGATTAGTGATCTGCATCTGAAGTTACCTAGTTTTTAACTTAAGAAAAAAAATGGGAAACAAGACAAAACCAAGTCACTATCTCACTGGGTACTGAAGGAAGCTGAGTAACATTAGTGGCTGCAGGTTTTGTTTACTACAGAAGGAATGGGACATATTACTACAAATCAAATGAGATTTATTTGCTGCAAATGGAACAAAAATATTACCTTGCATCCTTTAACCAATGAAGACTTAAAACAGCCCTTGGGGCAGTAGTTAGTTCCCACAGAGGACGGTATGGATCTCTGCAACAAACGAGTTTTATGGATGCAAATCAGTATTCAAATATTGCAGCCCATTACAAAACAGCACAAGATGCAACAACAACAACAACAACAACAAAGCCTTTAGTCCCAAACAAGTTGGGGTAGGCTAGAGGTGAAACCCATAAGATCTCGCAACCAACTCATGGCTCTGGCACATGGATAGCAAGCTTCCACGCACCCCTGTCCATAGCTAGCTCTTTGTCGATACTCCAATCCTTCAGGTCTCTCTTAACGGACTCCTCCCATGTCAAAATCGGTCGACCCCGCCCTCTCTTGACATTCTCCGCACGCTTTAGCCGTCCGCTATGCACTGGAGCTTCTGGAGGCCTGCGCTGAATATGCCCAAACCATCTCAAACGATGTTGGACAAGCTTCTCCTCAATTGGTGCTACCCCAACTCTATCTCGTATATCATCATTCCGGACTCGATCCTTCCTCGTGTGGCCACACATCCATCTCAACATACGCATCTCCGCCACACCTAACTGTTGAACATGTCGCCTTTTAGTCGGCCAACATTCCGCGCCATACAACATTGCGGGTCGAACCGCCGTCCTGTAGAACTTGCCTTTTAGCTTTTGTGGCACTCTCTTGTCACAGAGAATGCCAGAAGCTTGGCGCCACTTCATCCATCCGGCTTTGATTCGATGGTTCACATCTTCATCAATACCCCCATCCTCCTGCAACATTGACCCCAAATACCGAAAGGTGTCCTTCCGAGGTACCACCTGGCCATCAAGGCTAACCTCCTCCTCCTCACAGCTAGTAGTACTGAAACCGCACATCATGTACTCGGTTTTAGTTCTACTAAGCCTAAACCCTTTCGATTCCAAGGTTTTTCTCCATAACTCTAACTTCCTATTTACCCCCGTCCGACTATCGTCAACTAGCACCACATCATCCGCAAAGAGCATACACCATGGGATATCTCCTTGTATACCCCTTGTGACCTCATCCATCACCAATGCAAAAAGATAAGGGCTCAAAGCTGACCCCTGATGCAGTCCTATCTTAATCGGGAAGTCATCGGTGTCGACATCACTTGTTCGAACGCTTGTCACAACATTATTGTACATGTCCTTGATGAGGGTAATGTACTTTGCTGGGACTTTGTGTTTCTCCAAGGCCCACCACATGACATTCCGCGGTATCTTATCATAGGCCTTCTCCAAGTCAATGAACACCATATGCAAGTCCTTTTTATGCTCCCTATATCTCTCCATAAGTTGTCGTGCCAAGAAAATGGCTTCCATGGTCGACCTCCCAGGCATGAAACCAAACTGATTTTTGGTCACGCTTGTCATTCTTCTTAAGCGGTGCTCAATGACTCTCTCCCATAGCTTCATTGTATGGCTCATCAGCTTAATTCCACGGTAATTAGTACAACTCTGAACATCCCCCTTGTTCTTGAAGATTGGTACTAATATACTCCGTCTCCATTCTTCTGGCATCTTGTTTGCCCGAAAAATGAGGTTGAAAAGCTTGGTTAGCCATACTATCGCTATGTCCCCGAGACCTTTCCACACCTCAATGGGGATACAATCAGGACCCATCGCCTTGCCTCCTTTCATCCTTTTTAAAGCCTCCTTCACCTCAGACTCCTGGATGCGCCGCACAAAACGCATGCTGGTCTCATCAAAGGAGTCATTCAGTTCAATGGTAGAACTCTCATTCTCCCCATTGAACAGCTTGTCGAAGTACTCCCGCCATCTATGCTTAATCTCTTCGTCCTTCACCAAGAGTTGGCCTGCTCCGTCCTTGATGCATTTGACTTGGCCAATATCCCTCGTCTTCCTCTCCCGGATCTTAGCCATCTTATAGATGTCCCTTTCACCTTCCTTCGTGCCTAACCGTTGGTAGAGGTCCTCATATGCCCGACCCCTTGCTTCACCAACAGCTCGCTTTGCGGCCTTCTTCGCCATCTTGTACTTCTCTATGTTGTCTACACTCCTATCCAGGTATAGGCGTCTGAAGCAATCTTTCTTCTCTTTAAGCGCCTTCTGGACATCATCAATCCACCACCAGGTATCCTTATCTTCGCTTCTCCTTCCCCTGGACACTCCAAACTCCTCCGAGGCCACCTTACGAATGCAAGTCGCCATCTTCATCCACACATTGTCCGCATCCCCTCCTTCCTCCCAAGATGCATCTTTCTAAAAACAGCACAAGATGCATCTTTCTAAAAACTGCAAAGAGCAGTCAATTCGCTTGTGGGAAAAAAAATCCTGGGTGAAATATTAACCAAAAAGAGAAGAAAAGAAATTGTACTGACTATTGAGATAAACCTCAGTACAGCTACATATATGCAATATCGGAAATGGGGTGGCAAAGAGTAGTTTTGTCCACAACAAAGATTAGAATTATTGATTACAGTTCCTAGTAGAGTTTATGCTACCTTAAATCCCAGAATTTTAGGCCATCCTCTCCAGCAGTGACAAAGGTGTTTGTCTCTTCCTCACTGTCAAAATGATACGGGGTCAGAGTCAGTGTTTACCTTTTGGAATGGAATAGAAGTATAACACAACTTAGTACCTTACATATGGTGCCCAGGAGAGGGCTCTGATGGGAACAGATTCAGCAGTGACACACATAAAAGGTTTTGAATCTATACATTAACCAGAACAGCCGGTTAATATAACACACACACAAAAAAAAAAAGGAGATATGCAGTTCAGGAAATCCAATAGCTTGCTCTTTAACATGTGAAAGTAAACAGTTCCTGAGTCAGACATGTCATCTGAATGGCATAAGTCATATGAAATCCTATGAAAAGGGAGGTAGCAAACCATTAGAATACCTTGTGCTGGCAAGTCTATAGAGAACTTCCATAAAGCAACCTGGAACATCAAAATCCAACAATGAAAATTCTCGGCGCATCACCTTCTAACCAAATGGTGCAGTTATTAGATCTAAACTAAGAAAATAATTTACTACAGGCAGAAAAGATACCGTTCCATCATGACATCCTGCCAGTATCATATCATGAGGAGAAGGCGACCAATCAACTGTCAAGGGAATGCTGTTTACCATTACAAAGAGGCAATGAATTAAAAATGAAAATTCATGCTGACGAATTTAACAGAAATTTTAAATCTGCCACCTAGTTTAATAGCAGCACGATGAAAGTAAAAGTTGCAATACCTCTGTATGTTCCCGCACTTCACTTTAGCACACCTAAATACAGGCCGCAGCTTTAGAAAGCGAGGGTCGGTACCCTTCATTAAAGAAGATGAATATATCTTCTGGATTATGCTTGGAGATGGAACTTCCCATCTGTTCACAATAATGAATAAGTACAAAAATGGTGATATTTAAAAATTGATGGCAAAACAATTCAAATTTATGCTTTAGCATAGGATGTACTCACACTTCCAGTGAGCCATTTCCCAACAGTACTGCAAGAAAACCCAAACGTGATTTCTGTTCTGACTGATTTGGTAAAGGAGGCTTCCATTTGATGTCCCAAGCAACTTTTCCGTTATGAGCTAAACACAAGACGACCCTTGGTAGATGAATGCCCTTGGGGATTGCAGAAAGGTTTGGGTTTTCTGCACAAGTAATTATATTATCATTTTTACTTGAATTTTTTATTTGAGCTACTTCTGTATTTTCCACTTCAACAATCATCTGGGCACTATCTTCAAAAGGAGCATGGCCAACTTGATTGGCAGCCTCACCATCATTCATTTCCATGAGCTCACGGTTAATAACTGTGCTCTTACGACCCACCAAACCAGCCTCATTAGCCATGTCTTCACTCATAGATGAACCCAATAGTTTGGGATTCTCAACAGAAGACAAATGATTATTTGGCATGATGGATGTATAGGATGTCTCCATCTTCTGTACGTCACTACTAAGAGACAGTGAGCAAGTCTCATTCGGAGCAGATTTCTTTGTAGGAGGTCGTACACGCCTTCTGGTGTAGACAAGTAATTCTTTCTTGCACTTTTCAACTGAGAGCACATTGTCACTTGGCTTGGGAGTTGGCTGATTGTTTTGTTCTTTGCCACTGGATGTGGTTGAAGAACTACACTCTGTGGAAACAGGCTTGTTTCTATGTTGGGCACTTGATTCTTCCTTGTAATTTGCATTGCACAAGCCAAGTGCTAATGATGTGGCATCAAATGATGCAGCACTCAAATGGACATTGCACTTGGTTTTCCTTGGTCTGCTCCTTGGTTTTTTCAGACTTGGTTCTGCATGATCAGCAGTAGTTGCAGGTTTTATCTTTCTTGGTCTCCCCCTTGGTTTTCTCAGACTTGGTTCTGCGTAATCATCAGCTGTTGCAGGTATTATCTTTCTTGGTCTCCCCCTTGGTTTTCTTAGACTTGGTTCTGCATAACCATCAGCAGTTGCAGGTTTTATCTTTCTTGGTCTCCCCCTTGGTTTTTTCATACTTGGTTCTTCGTGATCATCAGTAGTTGCTGGTCTATCTTTCTTGGTCCCCCCCTTGGTTTTTTCATACTTGGTTCTCATGATCACCCGTAGTTGCTGGTTCTATCTTTCTTGGTCTCCCCCTTGGTTTTTTCAGACATGGTTCTGTGTGATCATCAGTAGTTGTCAGTTTTATCTTTCTTGGTCTCCCTAACGGTTTTCGAGGAACTGATGAACTCTCAATGGAGTTATTCTCATCTGGTATTTTTCTAGGCCTTCCTCTACAATTGCTCTTACTGTATGCAATCATTGACTGATGAGGATCTGCCTCTTCAAAGGGTGCTACGAGACACCAAACTTGAATGATACCTCTGCCAATCAATGGCATACCAAGCTTATGGTAAGAAGAACCAGGAGGATGAGCAGCAACAGCAAGATACTGCAACAGATAGAAAATCATGGTCAGCTCTAAGTACCTCATATGTAGTGATCTAAACGCTCTTATATTTCTTTACAGAGAAGTACTTGTTATCTTTTTTTATATCCAAGTAAATTCTTGCAATTAAAACAAAACAAAAGATTACTATTCATGGACACTGAAAAACAAGCGCAAACCATGCAATGAGCCTGAATGCAAAGATGCATTTGAGAAAAGTACTTTGATGGTTGTCTTGAGATTTTCTTAGACATATTTCTATATGCCAACATAAAGTATACAGTTGAGTAACATAAATCAATATATCATTGCGATGTGGGTTTGGGAGCCACTATAATGGCATTTTCTCATTGCTAAATCTGCGCGATGAACAAAACATTTCTCCAGATAGTCTTACAAGGCAGAAATTGGATAATAAGATGACGAATGAGCTTTTTTGGAATCATGACTCGCAACAAAAGAGCTACTAGTTCATGACCATCAGTCAGTTGATCACAACCTCACAATTTACACGAGAACAAGGCTTGTCGCACAACTTTGGGCACCAGTCCAGCGACCAAACACTTCCCCCAGCAAACAAAATGAAATCAGAACTGCAACAATTAAGATATTTAATCACAGTTCACTCAAGATGGTTCACCACAATCATATGGATAGTGTAACAGAAAAAAGTGAAAGAGGGTAGAAATATGGAGGTCAAATTTAGTAGCATATCCACGTCTCATTAATTTATGACATCACTGATCTTTCAATTAATGAAACAACACAAGCTATTGTGCGGATTGCCTACGTCTCTCTTTTTATCAAAAAATCTCCCAAAAGCAGCAGAACCTTGCATGGGTTGACAGCAGTTGATGACCCAACTCACTCCTGGACCAAGAGAATACTGCTTGCATTCTCAAATAACTGTACTTTTTAGAGTGTGCAGTCAAAGATTTAAAGCTTTGATCACTCATATACACAATAGCACAAAATGGTATTTGTATATGGGTTAGTGGAAGTACATATCACTAATTGTTTTTATCTAATAATGGTCAAAGGGGGAGATGCTAATTTGCGCGCGCGCGTTGCAGCGCTAACTTTCAGACATGTAGTTTTCTCCCGACTTGGAAAGTGGCGTTAGAGCATTAGGTGGGGGAATTGGATAAATAAGAGTGCCCCCCTCCCCCCTCAGCAATGCATGCCTTAATCAGCTAGCTGTATCATGCGCAAAAACCTCATCCACATGGTGGGGCCCTAGGCGTTCAGCCTGTCGGCCGAAAGACTAGTTTCGGATGGGTCGCTTGCTGGAGCGAGCGAGCGTGAAAGAGTCCTTTTGGGTAAAAGGTGTATTTGAAATCAAGTTATGTTGCATGTGAAACAACAAGGAAATTATTGTACTTCTGTAGAAATCCTTCACCAACAACAAGATGAGAATAGGTACTGGTCTGCAGAATACATTAGGTCATAACTTCAGTACTTCAAATAACACAACCAGAGGAACTTTAATCATATTGCATCTCTCCACAACAATACTACCATGAGTAACTAGTTAGGGAAAATCATGTAACAACATAAGTACTAGATTCTAGAAAGTTGAGGGAGTCTTGATTATATATAGGAAATAATACCTGTCTGTATCCTTATCCCTCCCATCTTCCAAGTGTGTGACCTGCATTGATTTGCACTTATATTATCCAAAAAACCAACTAAAAGCCTAAACCAAGAAATTTAGGCTCACAAATTAGCGCCAACAATCGGTTTTAGTATTACTAACCTGAGGAAAAGATGCAGATGAGAACTGTGGTAAGGTTATCTCGGGTGTGTCATCTGCGGATGAAGCTGATCCAGCGCCGTAAGCAAAACTTACACCTTTTGGCTCATAAGAGAAATGCCTCCATTCTCTGGGAAGATAACAAACTATCGTTATCAATAGATCAAATGTCTGCAGAATGAACTCTGGTCAATCCAAAAAGAACATTTGATGCTCTCTTTAACTATGATCTTAGCACATTGCGAAAAGCTGGATTAGTTAGTTCCACTGGCAGCATACCTAATTGGAGAACACAATCTGTCTTCCCATTTTCCTTTAACTAGTTTACTCTATACTTTCCTATATTCACATTTTAATGTTTCTTGGATTACTCATAGCCCAAAACTGAAACTTGCCAATTTTATCGGGGCAACGGCATTGCGGGAGCAAAGGAGACCGGTTGCGGTTTTCACCTGAGGAACGTTACTGAGGAGGCGAACCTTTCTACTTCGGCGTCGGGGAACCCCGGCTGGGGGTCGCCGGTGGCGAGCTCCGAGATGGCGCGTACCGCCCTGGAGAAATCCTCCTGCGACTGGTCGAACAGGCAGACCTCGGCGCCCTTGCTGCCCTCTTCCGCCTCCGGCTGGAGCGGCGGCGCGGCCATCGCCGGCGAGGGGAGCGGCAGGCAACCAGCGAGGGCTCTCTACCTAGGGCATCTCACAGATCAGCAATCAACATTCATCCACAAGAAGCCAAGAACTGTCTGCTGCCAAAGGAAAAACCAACCTTCGCGAGGCGGCGGCGTCCTGGCCAGGAGAGAGGGCGATGCGGCTCGGGGGCGTCCGGGTCAGGGGAGGAGCGAGGCGAGGCGAGGCGGCGGCGGAGTCCTGGAAAGGGGAGGGAGAGCGGGGGCAATCGGGGGCGCGCGGCCCGAGCCGGGGATCGGGCGAGCGGCGTTCGGCGGCGCGCGGCGAAGGAGGCCGGACGAGCTCCCCCCGTCGAGCGGGCGGACCAGCGGCGAGCGGCGGCGGAGGCGCGACCTGACCTCTCTCAGGCCGCAGGACGCTATCCCCTGACGAGGTGTCGAATTCTTCAGATAAAAAGTCGAGACAGGGTCGGGTTCAGTTAACGGACGGCGATCCTCGCCCCTTCCCTTGGGCCCCTCGCTCTACGGCTGAGATCGATCTATTTCCATCCTAGAAGTATTCGCCGATCGTGCGCTCATGTGGGCTCTTGTTGGCCCGGGTGCTGCGAGCTGCTGCACCCCTGCATGTCCAATGTTGCAGTTCATCGGCCTGCGCTTCATTCCCCAGAGAGAGAGGCTACTAACTGGCAATTCAAAAGGATGACCAGAATAGACCAGATTTTGAATGGTTTGAGGAACAGATCTAGAGCTCTTGAGTTGGATTTTTTTTTCAGATTTAAAACACCAGGGATGAAGAAACTCCAAGTCAAATTTTAAAAGAAAATTCATTTTTTTTTCATTTGATATTACTAGATGCCATTGGTATGGTGTGATGCATGTCGGCCCCGTAACGTTACGCATGTCATCCCACCATAGTGCATAAGAAAATTAAGTGAGAACAAAAACTAAAATCGAAAAAACGTTGATCTCCAAATGGCAAGCGCGGCCGCTCGCTGGCCACCCGATCCAGGCTGAGGTGCCACTCGTTCGACAGGTCCATGTCGCCCCATGGCAACGGGGTGCCTGTCGTGTTCTAGTACCGCTGGCATGTCTCCACGTCGATGTAGGGCCGCTGCCGTGGCGGAGCGGGTGTCAAGATTGAGAAATTGGGCAACGGGGCAACGAGACAGACAACTACCCGGGCTCCCGGTCGTGCTTCCCCGGGATCCATTTCCACACCATTGTGGCCGGGGGGTGACAAGCGGCGGCGCTTGTTAGGTTTTGTCACGTGTGCAGCGGCAGGGGGAGAAGATGTGTGTGGAAGTGGACAGACGCTTAGCTTTAACTTGTTGATGATCATCACACTTGTGTTTTTGTATATGTACTTATGTACTACTGTACCAGGTGGAAGGAGAAGAGCTGATTGCTACTAAATCAGAACAAGCTTAGTTCTGCATGATGGCTCAATGGTGCATGGTCAACTCAGTAAACCTAACATCTCTGATCTCTGATCCAATTTCAACCCTACTAAACTCTTAAGAGTAGGTGTTTCAAGAACCTGAGCCTGAGTCCTTACAAAAAAAAAGAATCCATGATCACTATAGACCCCCGAAGGTACTGAATTCCAAAAACTTGTGCATGTGAACAAGTCGACTATACTCTTGCTTTATTGCTCCCCGCAAATAAATTACTACAGATGTACATCTATTCTCTCCACATCAACAGAGGTGATATTCATGTCCACTCGAGTAACAAGGTTACACACCATCTAAACCACTATAACCCTGAAGAAAATTAGTCCTCATGATCAAGAAAGCCCAAATTCAGACAACACTGATTGAAACAAAGTAGAAAAGGCCTCCGCAGTAGCCCCATCGTCGGCCTTAATTTTGAGCTGGGCTTCGGATGATGCTGGGTTCACATTGCATTCTACAAGGTAGAAAGCATCAGCCCCAGCTTTCTGACCATAAAAAAAGAACTTGCGGTTTGGAGGCTGACCGCCTGAAACAACGCATTGGATGTAGTTGCTTTGCATATGACGAATGAACGATCGGTGATTCATCAAAGAAGCCGCCCCCTACGGAGTTAAAGAGCATTCCTACAACAGAACAAATCATAGTACAAGAGAAGAATGCTTGTCAATTACAAATGTCAAACTCGTCGAGATGAGTTGAGCTTCATGGGAAGACAAATTAGACAACGGCAGAACATAGGATTTCACGCGATCACTTTGCTAAAATCACAAGAAACTTGACCAGGCAATGACAAAAAGACAGAAGAGTATGCTGCGTGTGCTGCCCATAATCATGAAATTGTAGCAGGGATAAAAACTTAAAAGCAACGCACCTGAGAAAAAGATAATGCTAGTTGGCTCCATTTATTCTGGAAATCCCTAGGACCTAGCACAGGCCTTGAGTCGAGGGCCAGTGCACGGGGTGGTGGAGGGGCTGGGGCATCAGGAACACCATTTCCGAGGATCATCGAGACTGAAGTTAAATGTGTGAAGATTCAGTACCTCTGTACTAGAAGTGACAATAATAAGTTGAGTTATCAGTAGTGATGGCGGTAAGAAGTGACAACAAGTTGAGTTATCACTTGAACTTATAGCAATAGAAACTACGTAGAACTATGTACACACACACGACTTGGGTCGCGAAAATCTAGAATTTTTCTTCAACTCGAGAAAGATTTGACAGGAACATTTTTCTTCAACTCCCGTCACGGTTACAGGAATTGCGGAATAAGGGAGCAACTTAATAAGCATCAACTTTTGCCTACAATTTTCAGCAGTTCCTGTAAGTTGAGAGACAAAGATAGAAGAAACAACAGCAGCTAATCTCTGTTCCCTTGATCGCGTCCACGACGCTGTCGAGGAGAGCAGCGGCAGGGGCCTTGGAGCGACGGCGGACACAACAAGCAAAAAATAAATAAATGCTAGCATTGCAATTTGCAAACATGATAATATATTCTGATGGTTCAGAACATGCCATATGGTCAATCAACAATGCAAAGAAGTTGCATTTTAATTAGTTTAAATTGGGCTTGTGATTACCAAGAGAAATCAAGTATATTCATCAGAACTGAACTTTGATGCTAGAATCTAGTGTCATGCCTAATATACAGTACATATTTGACGCTAGAATCCATACGTGTGTCAGAAGTCAGAACTAAACTTTGACGCTAGAATCTAGTGTCATGCCTAATTTAGGGTACATATTTGACGCTAGAATCCGTGTGTCAGAACTAAACTTTGACGCTATAACCCAAGGAGATCAAACAGGACTACGCAAACACAAAAATAAAGATTGTTGACAAGGGACAAACTGAATCCGTGTGTCATGCCTAATTTACGGTACATATTTGTGAGGATAAACAAGAAATTACTGCACTGATTAACTCCATCTAAGTCACGAATTAAAGAAGACTCACGCACTGTCGGATTTCCTTGCTCGCTTGCGGCGGGTTCGGCCGTCCGCGCCGCCGGAGCCGGAGCCGGCGCCGGCGCTGATGGGCTGTGCGAACTGCCCTAGGTAGGCGGCTAGTCTCGGCAGGGAGATAAGCAGGCGCGCGCGCGTGCGTGCGTCGGCGCCGAAAGTAGGAAGCGATGGATAGATATCGATCGATGGTCAGCCTCCATATATATATACGAGGACAGAGACCTGGCGCTTTGTCCGTCTTGTGTGGCGTGGTGGGCCAATGGGCCGAACGAATTGCTATCTCTCTCAATAATACAGAGAGACATCAGAGACATGGACCGTTGGTGGGCTTCAAGGGGCTAATTAGTCCTACGTCCATCAAAAGAATTTGGGCCCCCTCAAAACAAAAACAAAAAAGGATTCGAGTGTTCAACCAGCAGCAGCGACCGCACGAAAACGAAGGCGACGGCGACCGAAGCCGATGGAGAGCAACGTATTAAGTACTAGCGAGGATCCTCTGCACTGTGCTGTAGCACCAGACATGGACTCATCAAGGGCAACAGCAGCACTGCAGCGAGAAGAAGAAGAAGAGATGGCTGGAGTCAAGCCCGGAGCAGGGACCGCCAGACATGGACTCGTCGACGAGTCACCGGCGGCAAGCGTGTCGTCGCGTTGCGCCTGTGGTTTTCAGCTCGGCGAACGCCGTCGTGGGCCGGGCCGGCGTCGCGCGCCAACAAGTAGGCACGGTCGGGCCCGGCGTCCGGCACTGCTCCGCCGTGGCCGCTCGTTGGTCGATCGGGGCACGTGCTGCTAGGCGCTGCCATCGGAAATTCTAGAATACTAGTCGGAGATGCTGTCCCGATCGCGCGGGCTCCAGGGGCGGGGGACACGACGTGGGCCGCGCCGCTGTCATCGAGTGGCTGTGCCTGTGTGTAGACCGACATCTCTTTGGATGAGATATCTCTCCTCTCCTCTCCCCTGCTGCCTGGTGCGCGCACAAGCCAGACGCAGACCACACACGAATGTGCAATGCAGGCACGCCAAACTTCACAAATCATTCTTGTCCTAGGACAAGGGGACGTAGGTTCATCCCTTGTTTAATGGCTCCGTCCGGCTAAACGCCGGCGATCGACCGGGTGATGCCAACGGAGAAAAACACACACCACATTTCAGCAGCTAGCAGACACAAGAGTTGAGTTCATCCACGGAGAAGCCATCAGAACCTCCATCATCATCCATTTATTCATCCATCCATCCTATTAACACCATCCGGAAACAAAACAAGAAAGAAAAACTCTACAGCCCCCAACCCCCTCCCCCCTCCCTGAGGCCCTTTCACCTCTCAGAGCAGAGCTCACTGTTCCAACTTTCAACATATCTATCAACCCAGAAAAACAGACCAACCAATTTGGCTGCCGGTAATATCTATGTACACAAGAGCACCACCTTGTCCGGCTGTCTCCTACGTCCTAAATTTGAGACCCTCCCAGCCCCTGCATTCCCCACAACGGCCATCGATCGCGGCCGTCCTCCAGCTCCCGGCAAACTCGCCCAGCAATTGCGCTAGTACATCCTTCCTGCCACGCCGACCTTGCTGTACCCGCCGGCGACCGCGGCGATGCCGTTGAACGGGGGAATGTGGTACGCCGAGGGCCGCGCCTCGGCCTCGGGCGCCACCCTGGCGTCCCTGAAATGGTGCGCCGGCCTGTAGTGCGCGCGGTCCTTCTCCACCTCCTGTTGCCTGTCGGAGCAGTCCGGCCTCTGGTGGTAGCCGGCAGCCGCTGCTGCTGGGGGAGCCGCGGGGTCCCTCGCCATCCTTCGGCCCGTTTGTCGGTCGGCGAAGGCCGCGTTCTTGGTCGGTGTCGCTGAGGCAATCACTCGGCCTGGTCTAGCTGCAAGAGTGTCAGAGATGAAATGTGTTTTAAGACTGCTGCTCTCTCTGAAGTTCAAATGAAGAGGTACCAGATTAAAGCAAACAGAACCAGTTACCTGTTGGAATCCTTTGAGGAGCTTGGTAGGCCGGACCATTTGTTGTAGGAACTGGGGTAGAGTGAACTGTTGTAGTCCTGCAAGCAGCCCGTCAAGGGTTAATAGTTAAACTCAAAATCCGTAAAGTACCGCGATGTGTTCTACCATATTATGCAATGATAGATCTTTCAGAAGCCTATTGATGAACTAATGCATTTGGTAGTTTTAATCAGCTTTATGGCGGCACAAATAATTGAGAACCAGACATAATGATCACCATTCAGAAGATCAGTTATCATGTAAGTTACCTCGGCAGAGAAACATGCTTCCTCTCGGGTGCCCCGCCTTTTCCTCCATCTTCCTCCAAGTTCGCAAATTGCCTCCGGAAGTTGTCCACGGCACTGCATAACAGAAAATTCAAGAGCCATGATGCGTATTGCTACATATAGATATAGACAGAATAATAACAAAGAGAAAAGAGCTTAAAGATACTATGTCAAGGTAAGAACCTAGGATATAGAAAGTTTGTTTTTTCAGAGCCGTTGGTGTAGTCCTTGAGAAGCTGAGGGTGGTACTCCAATATCTCCCTGAATATAAGTTCCTTGATGTCCTCTCTGGTAAACTTTCTGCGTTCAAACTCAAACTCCATTTTCGAAATCGGTTGGCATGATGGTTCTCTCTCCACTTTCGCGAGGCCGTTGAAATAGGGATCAGCCAACGCCTGATTATGCATAGAACACTCGTTAGAATAACATATAGACGACCTTGAATATGTGATTTTTAAAAAAAAGTAAAACAAATGACAGCACAAAATACTAGTAAAATGAAAATCATGTCGTTTCGCTAAGACACGCCTACCTCTTCAGCAGTCGGTCGGTCCTTTGGATCAAATGCTAGAAGCTTTTGCAAGAGCTTGACTGCTGCAGGATCTGCCTTGGGGAACTTCTCTGCAAAAGGTACTGGCAGTTTCTTCCTCATGCTGCTCAGGTACCTCCTTGCCTTTTCATTTCGAATCTGCGGTGATAAAAAATATTAGAGAATTGGACCTTATGCTTGAGTAGTTGATTGACGACATTTCTGCAAACAGTAAATCATACCCGAGAAATAATCTCAGGCGACGGCGAGCCTAAGAAATCAGTCATCATATCCAACTGCTGAACCACATTTTTACCAGGGAACAAAGGCTTTCCTGTCAAGATCTCCGCAAAAATGCAACCAATGCTCCAGGTATCAATAGCCGGTGAATACTGCATTGAAGGAGTCGACTTAGTGTCATCAAGTTAATATAGAAACTGAAAAGGTATAAACAAATGATAGCAAATGTAACACTAAGTAATGCATATCAATTTGTAGACAAAGAAATTTAGTGGCTGAACAAACACCTATAGACTGAGCAAGTGGCGGAATGCCACAAACGGTAGTAAAATGAACAAAACCACAGGAAGAGGAAACTATGAATTACCTTGGTAAAGAAAGAACCACAGAGCTCCGGAGCTCTGTACCACCTAGTGGCAACATAGTCCTGCAAACCATGTTGGAGAAGACGGTGAGCTTTAAGTTTCAAGTAGGGTTCTTTGGCACACAACATAGCATTCTATCGAATTCGTCAAGCAGAATTGACAAAACTAGAGTATTTTGGATCAAATCTAGTAAGATGTACAAGAAGTAACATACCGTCCAGAAAACAGTTGTAGGGGTGTCATTGAATGCAACTCTTGCTAGTCCAAAATCACATATCTTGAGCTTGCAGTTTGCATTTGCCAATATGTTTTTTGGCTTCAAATCACGATGATAAACGTTAGCTGCAGCCACAAGGATTCGTCGTCAGAACAGAGCAAGCAGGCAAAACATAACAAGAGATGATAAATAGAACTAGAAGACCTTTCTTCTTCCAGTTTCATGGGGGGAAAAAAGAGGGGGGGAATCAATCTTCGAATGAAGATCCTTATGTAATTACCAGTATGGATGTATTTGAGCGCGCGGAGCATCTGGTAGAGAAAGAACTGGTAGTGCTCCTTTGTCAAGTCATCGTTGGCCTTGATAACCTGGTGGAGGTCCGTGTCCATGAGCTCAAAGACAACAAATATGTCCTTGTAGTCCCTCCTGGAGGGAGGCAGCATTATGTGCTTGATCTGGACGATGTCGGGGTGCCTGAGAAGCCGGAGAAGCTTGATCTCGCGGAGCATCCGAGCGGCGTCGGTTATGTGCTCGAAGATGTTGGACACCTTCTTTATGGCCACCCTGTCGCCGGTCTGCCGGTCGATGGCTGAACATACCACCCCATAACTCCCTTTGCCGATGATTTCCTCAATCTTGTATCTGCTTGCATCTCCATATTCACTGAAGAAACTCATCACGTCCGAACTCTGAACCTGAAAATTCGTGGAGAAAGTTAGCACGGTGCACATGGCAAATTGATTCTCTTTTGCAAAAGAAAAAGAAAAAGACATCCAGATCAGACGTTGGCTTGAAAAACAGCCACGAATTCAACTACTACTGATGACCCATAATCAGAACTTCCTTGGCCTGTACTCACCCACCCAAAATCAGAAAAGTGACAGCAACCAATTCAAAGAACAACAGTGTCAGGAGGCTGATGAACAACCCCTCCTGGAAAAGGATGTATATATATATCCCTTTGGCTGAAAAGAATATCGGGAAACTTCTAAGCAACTCCTGGGTAGGCATGGATTCCATCCACGGACTGGACTGAATATATGCGCGGCGCTGGCGTTATCCATCTCTGGCTAAAAGGAAAGTAACTGCAGATTTGGATAAACTTGCCCGGTCGCCGAATCGAATACTGCCCCATTTACCAACCACGCCGACCGACCGACCGACCCCTCATCAACATCTGCCAAAAGAGGGGTCTCCCCGGCGCTGAAGCCATGGATTTCCCAGGAATTGAATAGGAAACAGCGAGCGGATATGCTGCCGCCTCCCCGGGGATTTGGACACAGCAGCTAACAAGGCAAGAAATCGCGGCGGGAGCGAAGCCAATCCGTCCGTCCTCGCGGGCGGGAGGCAGACTCCTCTTGTCTGGGGAAACCGAATCCGTCCGAATCCTCCCCGAAATCCACATCTTTATCCGCCCCAAATCCAGGGGGGAGAGCGCCCCTCTGTCCCAGCACGAGCCAGCCCGCAGAAGCAGAGCGCCGCCGCGGCTCACCGCTTAGGAACCCATGGCCGGCGCGGCGGCACCGACATGGCAGGAAATAAAAAGAAGAGGAGGAGGAAGAAGGAGTCTTTCTGCGCGGAAAGCGACTCTGTCCGTCCGTTCCCCCACCTTGCTGCGCTGCTCGCCGCCGCCGCGGGCACCCGCATTTGCCTCCGGCATCCTGGGGAGCACGGGAGATAGAAGGCCGCGCCGCGCCGCGCCTCGCCCCGCCGCCGGTGCGGTCCGCGGCGACGTCACCCGGAGGAGGGAGGAGGGAGCGGTGGTGGGTGTTAAACAAGTCCAAGCAGGCAGGCGCGGGGAGGTGAGATGAGCTGAGCAGCACAAGGCCGACGCGAGGTGGTATTAATAAAAATGTTTGGGCTTCGGCGGACGGTTTTGCCCCTCTAGTGGCAGGGGGAGTGAGGCCTGGTTCTGCCGTAGTTCTCGGGCAGGAGCGAGGGCGTTTTCGGTATTTTCATTATCGGTGCGGGTTGGTGGGCTTGGGTAGTGTCCCTTTGCTTGTGAGTGAGGCCAGCACGGTGCGACCCGCTAACCCGCTTATATATGCGTGTGCATTTCTCTTCCGTGCAAAGAAAAAAAACATCGGTGGTTGTAATTCACGCGGATGCCGCACACCCGTAGAGGAGTATACGATACCACACGGGGGCGAATCTACTGCACATGCTTTAACAGGCTTGAGCCTGCCCTCCAACCAGATGAATTTTGTCTTTGCTACTAGTGACGACGGCCCGGCCCGGCCCGGCCTAGCAAATCAGCGGCTTCTTGGCCCATCTAAGCACCTCCTCGCTCTTTTGAGCATGTCCTCCGTGTACATTCTAGAGTCGCCATTGATACCACCTACACGCCGCTCTTGATTGCATCTACTGAGGACTAGAGTTTGTGAGCTAGAACTGTTTTTGGAAAGAAGCGATGCGTCACGACGAGCTAGCGCGGGCCGCCCGCGGATGCTTCCTAGACGTGTGCGAACACGGTATGCATGAACTCCAATCTCGACAATCAGTGAGCTGGAGGTGTATCAACAACGTAATCACCGGTTATGAACTTTCCATACCAAGTTTCGGAGAGAAAAGTGGTCAGTTCTTGTCACCGGCGGTGATGGAGAGAAGAAAAGTATAACTGAAGCTATAAAAAAGAAGTGAAAAGTTTTGAATGGGCCCACCCTTGCATGGTAGGGGTGTGCGTACCGTCAATAGCACAAACTAAAACAAAATGACTCGAACCTTGTCGCACTGCTCGCCGTCGCCATGGGCATCCTCATTTGCCTCGAGCATCCCGAGGAGCACGAAAGGCCGCGCCTCGCTGCCGGTCCGGTCTGCGGCGATGTCACTCGAAGAAGGGAGGAGGAAGCGGTGGTACGGTGTTGGGTGTTAACAAGTCCAAGCAGGCAGGTGCGGGCAGGTGAACTGAGCGGCGGAGAGGCGGGGCAAGGGGGTATTAGTAAAGCATTTGGGTGCGGGAGGACAGTCCTGCCCCTCGAGCGGCTTGGGGAGTGAGGTCGGGTATTGTTGTAGTTCTCGGGCAGGAGGGAGGGTGTTTACGGTATTTTCTTATCGATGCGGGTTGGTGGGCCTGGGCTAGTGTCCCTTTGCGTGTGAGTGAGGACAACGTGTGTGTTTCTCTTTGGTTAAAAAAACATCAGTGGTTATAATTCACGTGGACGCCGCACGCCCATAGAGGAGTACACGATACCGCTTGTATGCCACTCTCGACAGCGGCTACCGAGGAGCGGAATCCGTGAGCTAGAACTGAATTTGGAAAGGAGCGTTGCGTCGCGCCGAGCTAGCGCGCGCCGCCCACGGATGCTTCCTAGACGTGTGCATACACGGTACGCACGAACTCCAATCTCGACAATGTGTGAGCTGGCAGTGTATCGAGAACGTAAAGCGGTATTCGAAATGAACGTTCCATATCAAGTGTTCGGGGGAAAAGCGATCATTTATTGTCGTCGGCGGGGATAGAGAGAAGGAAAGGAGATAAAAAGGAAGTGAAAAGGTCCAAATAGGTCCGCTGATCGTCAATAGCGCACACTGCAACAAAATGACCCGGACCATCAATATATGCGTGTGTGCTTCTCTTTAGCACAAAAAACATCGATGTAATTCATGCGGATGCCACACGCCTATAGAAGAATACACAATACCACCTAGTACAAGGCACTCTTGATAGCGTCTACCGTGGATCGAATTCCATGAGCTAGAACTGTATTTGAAAAGGAGCGATGTGTCGCGACGAGCTAGAACTGTATTGAAAATGTAAAGCGGTGTTGGTAATGAACGTTGCATATCGAGTCTTTGGGAAGAAAATCTATCATTTCTTGCTGTCGAGGGCGGTAGAGTGAAGAAAAGGAAATAAAAGTACTCCCTACGTCCGAAAATACTTGTCGAAGGAATGAATGTATCTAGACGTATTTAGTTTGAAGATACATCCACTTTTATGCATTTCTCCGATAAATATTTCCGGACAGAGGGAGTATAACTCAAAAAGCTCGGAATGGGCATGCCCATTACACGGTAGGGGTGCGCGGACCGTCAATAGTGCACACTGCAACAAAATGACCCGGGCCGTCTGTATATATGCGGGTGTTTCTCTTTAGCACAAAAAACATTGGTGTAATTCACGCAAATGTGGCACGCCCGCAGAGGAATACACGATACCGCATACACACCACTCTCGACGGTGTCTAACGAGGACCAAAGCCCGTTAGGGATAACTGTATTTGGAAAGGAGTGATGCGTCGCCATAAGCTAGCACACACTGCCCATAGATGCTTCCTAGATGTCTGCTTACACGGTACCCAGAAATTCCAATCTCAACAATAAGGTTGGTAATGAACGCTCCATATTGATTCTTAGGGAGAAGAGCGATAATTTATTGTCGGTGGCAATGATAGAGAGAAGAAAAGGAAATTAATGTATAACTAAAACTACTACAAAGGAAGTGAAAAGGTTGGAATGGGCCTGCCCGTTACACGATACTGGTGCGCACACTACGACAAAGTGACCGAAGGTGTCCGTGAATGTCGAACGTGTGTAGAGGAAGAGTACACGAGACCACTTATACACCGCTCTCGACAAAGTATAAGAGCATCCAATAAGGACTGGAGTCGTGAGCTGGAACTGTATTTAGAAAGGATGAACTGTATTTGGAAAGAAGTGCAATGTTGTCGCGATGAGCTAGAGCGCACCGCCTGCAGATAGTACCTAGATGATTGTGTGGACGATACTAAATCGTATCGAACACGTAAAATAGTATTGGGAATGAACGTTCTCACATCGAGTCTTCTGTGGCGAAGCTATGCTAGGCCATGGCCCACCACCATTTGAGAATTTGTTACATTTACTCGTGGACCTTGGAACACCGTCCAACGGGCTATTTCCTCCTCTTTTACACGCTAAGCCCGCCCAAAAATGGGCTTCAAGCTCCCCCACTGTGAGTGTTAGGGAGAAACTCGATCCTTTTATTGTCACCGACAATGATAGAGAAAAGAAAAGGGAAAAGGATAAAAGAAATTTTAAAAAGAAAAAAAATGAGCTTGCCCATTACACGTGGGTGCACAAACCGTCAATAGCACACACTCCCGCAAAATGACTTAGACTGTCAGTAGCGCAAACTACACAAAGATAAATGAAGCAATCAAGCTACAGAACACAACGTCAAAGCGTATCCTCG